GAACATTCGATACACCGGAAGATTCGACAGGCGCCAGCGCACCAGAGGGGGCTTGACGTCAGTGGGGTTTCCTCCATGCCAATGAACGGATTCCCCCCATACAGGGGCTTTATCAGAGACGTCCCTGCCTCCGTGGCGGTGTGTTCACAAATGAAGGCATCCCCCTGGTGCGAATCAGGTTGTGTTTTTTTGCTTTGCTTTTCCAAACGGGTTTCATAAGACAAAGTTACCTTCAATTGAAGGCCAAATAACTCATGGAGTTTCATATAATGCAACTTTTCACGTAATTGTTTTGTTTCTGTCTGTATGACAATCAATTGTTTATGGATTTTCATTTCAAATTGTGCGCGAATCAAAATTTAAAACTTGTCGACAAATCTTGGAAAATGTTTGGCAAACAAAAAAACTTACTCAAAAACAAAAAAAAAATCTTTCGAAGGCTCAAAGCTGCTGGGCGACTGCATGAAGCAGACAGAGGCCCTTGCCGAAGAACTTCAAGGCGCAGCTGCACTCTATGGTCGCCGAACTCGCGACAGCCATGGTTTTTTCTTTTTTCTTTTTGGAGAAAACAAAAAACTTTATTGCTCAAATCAAAGGAAACAGGGGCCGGGGGCCTTGACCCACTAGCGGGGGTTTAGTTTACGTTTCGTGTATTTTCCAACGTGGCCACAGTAGGGCCGTGAGATTTTCAGATCGGATGGCAAGGAGCCATGTACACTCGAAACCAGAACAAAACCTCGAGAAGTGGGACATGGCCCCGGGAAACCCCACAATACACTCGCGACAGCCATGTTCGGCTGTAAGCGAAGCTGGGTAATGCTCCCAGAGTGACTCCGGGGGCCAAGTCCCACTTACGCTGCTGATCCTTGATTTCTGGTCGTTGATCTTCCGAATCTGCGGTCAAATATCGATCATTCGGGTAAGTGGCACCTGGCCCCCGGGGCAAGGGTCCCACTTGCGCAAATTAGGAGATTCCGGCCGTTCATCAGTATCTCTTAATTCGTGCAAGTGGGACCTACCTCCCCCGGTTGAATTGTGAGGTCCCCGGCTTCAGGTTTTCAGTTTGGAATGTCTTATTAAAAAAAATAATAATAAAAAATAAAAAAATAATAAAAATTGCGACAGCCAGGGTCGCAGCTGCCGAGTTGGCGGCGGCCAATGCTGCCAAGGTGGTTGCTGCGATGGCTGCTGTGCTGTGTGGATCCTCGAACTCGGCACCTCTGGCAGAAAATACGTCTAAGGGCATACTCGCACAAGCACTTTCCTAAATGTATTGGACTGCAATTACGGCCCGACCTGGATGAATCTGACCGTCATTACGTTCAATGACAGAGAGAGAGAAGTTTGAGTATTATCCTAGTGTGAGTATGCCCTAACACAACTGAGATGGCTGACTGGTACACAGATATAACTCTTAATGGCTGACAGATGTAACTATTAATAAAAACAGATCATGGGTTCTAATCTTGAGGTGGAATCACTTTTTTCTTTTTTTTTTAAGGTGGAATCACATTGATACCCCCATAATGTTTGGGGCAAGAGAACTCCTCATATTATTGCTTTTTCAGTGTCTCTATTATTTCTGTGATTTCATTTCTTCGTGTTTTGTTCCTGGAAGGAGGCAAGCCCCCAACATTGCTACAGTAATCCATCATGGCCGAGGTGTCAGCTCTGATTTTTTTTTTTTTTTAACCCCAGGGGGGGGGGGGGGGGGGGGGGGGGGGGGAGAGGATTTCAACTAAGAGGGTTGATAGGAGCAGAGCCCCTCTTAGCAGATCCTCGGGTGCCAGTGGCTTCAATCTATTCTGACCGTAGATAACTTCGATCAACGGCCAGAAACGATAAATACAGGCTGCCAACTTCCCCCGAATAGAACGTGCGGTCATTATAGCTGCTGCTGTATTCGGGACGACTTTCAATCCAGATACAGGTAAAACGACCGCACGTTCTATTCGGGGGAAGACGGGTAGTGGAACGTTATCCCATGGGCGTGGTTCCACTACCAGCCAGAAAGGACAGTCCAGATTCAATCTCGATCAACGGCGTACAGTTTTCCGACGAGTCCTGGGACATCTAAACTGTTCACTTTCCCAAAAAAGAACGGACCTGCTACTCTGGCCAGTTCAATCTCGATTTCCTGCACCTGTTCACAAACACGTCCAGATTCAGGCATTCGATCCCATCCTCTTTGCTAGTGGGACCACGCCCCAGGAGTGGACTTGGCGCGAGGTGTTGGGCCTGCTTGCACTACTCGCCATCCGCCAACATTTTGAATGCATCTGGACTCAGATCTGTCGATATGCATTCGAAAGGTTGGCGGATGGCGAGGAGCTCAATTCGTACACCCACGAACTGTTGAAATACAGTCGACCCAAGTACGAATCCAGGAACAAATGAGATGACCAAAATAAGAATACAATCATTCTGAATTACCTGGGGCCGACCAGTTCAATGATGATATCTAAAGGCAGTCGCCCTTTCGAAAAAAGAAACAACATACCTTTCTCGGCTCTGATCCGTGGTCCATCGGACAACCGAAAAAAAAAAAAAAAAAAAAAAAACCCACCAACGGCTTCCCCAGAATACAACGTATGGTCATGTCATTATAGCTGTATGTAGACTGGAAGATGACTCAAATACAGCTATAATGACCGTACGTTGTATTCGGGGGAACAAGGTAGGCCCGTGGGCTAACACTACATATGTGTACCATTCAGCCACACATGGGGTGCGTTGATCGTTTTCATTTCGGAATAACGGCAACGAAATGTAGGGGAGACAGAAAGGAAGGAACAGTGGGACCCGCTCCCACTTCTCACCAAATGAGCAAAATGAGAATGAATCTTCCGCTAAAACATGGGAACGTACGCCGCCATATTTTTTGCCTTTTATGCATATGCTGAAGACTAGTGGAGCGAGGCCCAGGGAGTGAGACAAGCGATGGCCAAGTTTGCTTCTAAACACGCTTTTCAGATTACAAATGAAATAACAAATACAAATGAAATAACAAATGGACGGACGCACCGCGTCCCTTTCATGCTCTCCAAACGCGCACAATTTTCTACGCGTTTCAAAACCCGTTGCGGGTCTCGGTCCCAAGATTTTGAAATAAATGCTACATTTCTCTCAAAAAATAAATAAATGCTTGTCATTCCCGGCCTCGGTCCCAAGATTTTAAAATAAATGCTACATTTCTCTCAAAAAAAAAAAAAAAAAAACCGTTGCGGATCTGATATCATCAGAGCAAAACGGCCATGACGAGGGAAGCAACAACGAGATCGCCACCTGACTGACCAATGAACTTTCACAGTGCATTTTGGGAAAGAGGAAGCCTTCGAAATACGAAACGGAATACCTTTCTCCGTCTTCTGGCTAAAGATCGAGTGTAGTACCTGTTCCGATCGGCTTAATATCATATCCTTGGTCCGTCGGGCCACATCAACCCACAAAAAAAAAAAAAAAAAAAAAAAAAA